TGTGTAGAATTTCTCTGCGTCTTTTACTGCAGTCTCCTATCCAGAGGCTCATGAATCGGTTAAACTTTGTCTGGGTTTTTTTTGCTTGCTTGTTAACATACCATTCCAATGCTGTTACTTAACTGTAAATAAGATCTAGAGCTCTTCATTGTTTGATTTAGGGTGTTTCAGAATCTGTCTGGCTCTGTATCTATATTTGATATCCATATAAACCCAAACATAAATTCTGATTCCAAACCCCTGGAAGGTTTTGCATATTTGATCAGTCTAAAGCTATAAATGTTGCTTGGCAGTTGATCAGAAAGAAATCTGCTGCTTAGCTGAAATAGTGCTTCAAAAAGGTCTGCAATTACAGGCAGTAAAGCAATAGCTTTTATTGTTTTAAAGCCAAGACTAGATGCTTTTATGACAGTTCATAGTAAAAAGTGCTTTTCTAGGAACTCAAAACCAAAACGAGTTCTTAGGAAAGCTGAATGTCTAGCTGCTAAACAAATGACTTCTAGTGATTGCTTGACTTGAAGTTTAACTGGGCTTTACCTATTGAGTGGCTGATGATTAGGCAATGTGTTGCTGTGATGGCACTTACATCGCCTAGGTTTACGGCTCCAAATGCCTAGTCTCTGCGTTTTCTCTCGGGTGGAGAGAGACGGGTTTGCTCTTGGGACAGTTCGTTAACAGCTCCAGAAGGAAGCTGTGTGGAACTGCAGTGCCTTTATTGGGTAGCGTGGATTCTCCCTATTCCCCATCTCAAAACTTGTGTCTCAAGTTCAGTAGTAAAACGTGAGTTTGTGATTTTTTGTTGTACAGCAGAGATGTAATCAAGAAATTAAAAGAGTGAGAGTGAGACTGGCTTCTCAAACCCTGTCTGCAGGGAGGACAGGGGTGTCTAAGCTGGATCTTACTCTAAAAATGCTTGGTTGTTGGGACTTTGAAGAGGGTGGAGAAATGCCTACGGATTGCAGGAAGGCTTCTGTGTGCACTGCATTAGATCTGTCAGCAGATCAAATCTGGGCATACCTGATAGCACATGTAAATATTTGGGGAACTTGACTGGCCAAAAGCATGAGTCCCTGTGTATTTCAAGCTTTCTCAGTCTGTAATGGTAGTAAAGTTGAGATTTTTGAGGAGATGAGTTTTGGGGTATAAGCATTTGGGTGGTATGTGTAGGCAACTGTGAGCTTTGTAGTAAACGAGCTCAATAAAAGAAATGTTAATAGTGACTTGTAGGTACTAGAAATAGTAACATTTGGAAAAGTGACTGTAACCAGCGTATCCTTTGGAAGGACAGCTGGTATGGTGTGTGTATGAGCTACTGTGATTGGCATGAGTTATGTATGCAGAAGTTCCTGGGTTCTGGTGAGCCAGGAGGCAAGATCTGAGCCGTTTACATATTAGGAGATCCTTACTTGGGCTATTTCTTAAACGGATTTTTCTGCTTTCCTACGAGCTAATGGAGTTTGTATACTGCATTACCTTTATTTGAAGCGTAAATATTTCAGTAGTCCTTTAAAAAGCGAGCTCTTGTGTTAAGCTGTCCTAAAACGTGCAGTATTATCAGTAGTTGTATGCTACAGGTTTAGTCCAGATAAAGATGGGGTGGTGCAGAGAAAGCAGCGGTTTCGAAACACTGAAACTGAAGGTTTGAACTGAGAAAGGACTCAGTCAAATCCTGCCACAGGCATCCTTCCTAGAGGATCATGTACATGAAGAATGACAAGCATATTTTAGTTGGTTTGAGGGATACTTTTTGCTCTGAGTTATCAACCAATGCCTTTTCGCATGCTTCCCTGTAAGATTGTTGGCATTGAGAATGATAGCCAGTCAGCAGGGACTCCTAGAATGTGTATTTTATCTTCACTTCCTCACATAATCATCTGTTACTTTCCTGTTTAAAGACTTGTCTGGAGGTCTAAGCTCCCTTACCACCTAGCTATCATCTTGCTGCTGTTACTGCAGGGGTGTATTATTTCCATTTTTGAATTGCCACAATGAGAATTTATCATGCAGTAATTAAGATATACTTAATTTGGCTGGATGGTTTGCTTGTTTCACTAAAGGTTTAACAAAGTCCATATCAAGAATCGCTTGCTTTGTGACAAGCTACTGCATGTTTGTTGTTAGTTATTATTTTAGGAAACAGGCATAAAAAATAGATTGCCTTTTCACCAATACCAGTAGTCCCTCTGGCACACAAGGGCATGGCTGGTAAGACAAAAATAGAAAAAGGACTTTGAAAGCTGTAGCTCACTAATGCTAAACTCAAATTATGAACAAAATATTAAACCTCTCCCCCCCATCATTATTCTGTTAGTTCTGTTCTTTATAAATGATGCATTGTATGGGCCTTGGTTACTGGTTTGATGCAATGTTTATTGTTGATTTCGGTTAGGTGGGTGTATGGGGACGTTTAGAACACCACAGAGGGAGGAGGGCTGGAGTTTTTCTATTGAACTAGGTGCTGTCACCACCTGCTGGTCATTTAGGCACATGACTATGTAAGTAATCTGCCAACACTGACTAACATGGATCTGCTGCCAAGTTTGGGGACTAGATGTGGTATGGAGAGCCCGTTTGATTTTGTGCGTCTCTAATGGATATCTGGGCACAAAACATTCATTGGCATAGTGTAGGGATATTTTAGAGGCATCTACCAGTTGCTGGACACAATGTTTGTAATTTAAAATGTTTATTGGTGTTTAAATGGCTTCTTAAGCACCTTAAAAGCAGCCTCTTGTGTGCCACAGCAATGCCAGCCTCATCTAGAAGACCCAATATCTGCCTTCAACTTAAGTGTTGCTGTCTGCAGTCAGCGTATAAAACAAGCTGTGTTTCTCTTTTTTTGCACTGCAATTAGCGTTAGCTAATTGAGAGTAGCTATGCAACTCATCTCCGTCTCTTGCTCTATTTGTTGATATTTCACTTTGTCCTTGCACCTTAACTGTCAGAGTATTTTTTTCAAAGGTGTTTGGAATGCATTAAGTGATTTTTTTCCCCGCCCTCCCTCCCAGGGGAAAAAAGTCTGACCGTATCAGTGAAAGCAGCCAGGCCTGTAAGTGTTGCCATAGTGTGCTTGTTTGCATGAAACATCTGGGAATCCCCTATTCCAACAGGGATGTGTGGCCTTTCTAGGCTCACTTCATCAGCTGAGTAGTCTCCCCCTCTGAAACACTCTATGGGAGTTAGTCTGTGGAATGGTTTCTCTACTAACATTGTGAATTAATTTTTCTTCTATCTTATTGAATGCTGCTGCTGTTCTGGATTTCTATGCTGCCTGTTTGCAACTGCTTTATGTAATCCCCGCTGATAAAATGATTATTAGAACACCCATGTAAGTGGTTGGACAAGCTGTATTCAAGAGGAACTGTTGCTCCTAATTAGCGCTGGGAGATTTTGCACATATTATGAAAGATTAAAGGGGTCTGTGTTTATGCTTTAAAGGCTTAGAGCTTATCAATTCTGGTCCTCTTCTGGTCTGGTAGCTCCAGCCAGGCTTGCACTTGGTAGCTATTTGCAAATGAAGGTGCGTTCCATGTTGCAGCCATAAGATAATGTGACAATGGTAGTATAAGGATGACTTGATTCTTACCTTTGGAATGCAGTAAATTATTTTCTAGCTACGGTATGAAACCAAGTACAGTTAAATGCTAGGAAAACCTAATACCCACGGGATTGTTTTGGATCCTGTGTATGTGCCAGCATTGTGTGTTATATGCGTGCTGTGGCTTCAGCTGTAATACAAGGAAAGCACCAGAGTATGTTTAATTTTCTGCAACACAGTGAACATAAGCTAATTCCAAACATAGTAGCTCTGGATCCAGCAGCAGTGTAGATGATACGTGCCTAAAAGCAGCATACTCAAGATAACTGAGGCCAGCTGGCATTTCTGTCTCTATGAACAGTTGTATACGGTATCAGTTTAAACTCAGACACTGCTAATTCTGTAGATCACGACAACTTTATTCTTACAAATTATCAGTAAAAATGTATACAGTGTAAAAACAAGGAGGTAAAAATTACAACATTTAACAGTTCAGAACCCTATTATTTCAACGTATGCATATTCTTATGCAAAGGTATGTGAAGGATTTTGTGATGTTGCCTTTCTCTGAGGAATAAGCACATTCCTGGTAATGTGTGTGTGTGTGTATGGGGTGGGGGGAAGTATGCCTCATTTATGCATTTTTTTTTTTTTTTAATCAGTATACTTACAATATGGAAAATAATGTAACAGCTGAGACACTTTCACATAAGGTATTTATAGATATACTACTATAAGACTTTCTTATGAATAGGATAGGTATAAGTTACCTTTTCTCAACATGTAAACTGATTTCGGAGAAGATGTTCTAAAGACATAAAGGGAGAATGTGAAACTGGTAAAGAGATACCAGGAAGGCTGTTTCTCTTAACAGTGTGCACACTGGGAAAAATGATTAAATGCTTTACTTACTTTTTTTAGCCATCTCATTTTTATCTTGGCCTTCCTGCATGTTGGGGCACTTCTCAGGAAAAAGGTCAGTTTCTCCAGAATTTACCGATAGCTGAGTTTCAGTTCTGGAGAATAAGACAGCATTTCTGTGCAGGTTTAAAGCCAATATGCTGCTTTCACAAAGCGGCCACTTGTACTAATCTGAGATGGAAATGATTTTCTTTTTATTTTTTTTTTAATCTTTTAAATGTATTCATGTTATGGCTCAATGCTTGTGAAGAAGCAATTTTGCAACTGAATGGGAGAGGTTGAGGGTTTTTGTTTGTTTGTTTTTAAGTAATTGATATTCTCATGTCCAGTACCTTCTAATTGAATATAGTTTCTTGTCATTGTACTAAAATCATTACTCTGGTCTTACATGTTTCTGGGTGAAAAGCTTTTGTTTTGTATGCTTCATTATATTCATAGTCATAACACCTGAACTGGTTTCCCTACTGTTGCTTCTAGCTGGTCTGCCCAAATGGCTCATTTATTTTGGATGCTGAAAGGTCTTCCATCTTCAGGGCTGGCATCTGCCATTCAGAACAAGCTCAAGCTGAAACAAAAAAGCAGTGAAATCCAAGTAAGTGTTTAATAAGTTCTTAAAGGCTAAAAAGTAACAAGTGACATGTAGTACAAATTACTGAATTACAGGAAATCCGTGAAAGGGAAAAATAGTATCAGATGTTTTTGTGACACTGTCACAAAGCTAGGGAAAAAAGTACTCCAGAATTTTAACTACAGGTTTATCTTAGATATACTCCAAACTAGAATAAAGATGTGAGGTTCTTCCCTTCGTGTTTTATGATAAATTCCTATTTAGGAGGAAAAGAACATTACTACTAATTTTATGGGATTTGAATAAGGACTTTTAAGGGTAGTTCAACTATCTGATGGAAGATCTTTAATAAGAAATAATTTACAGGAAGTAGTACAGATACTGCTATTAGTGACTGAAATTCTCTCTTTTGTTCTCACAACATGATGTGGCAATCTGCTACAATGTGCGATTAGCCTGACCACTACAAACTTTTTCATAATTCCATCTTAGTTTGGGTCTGCTACACTTCCTTCTTTTCAGCATGTTTACATATTTAAAGACTTAACTCATGTCTTCCCTGAGTCCTTCAATCTTCCATCACAGAGAAAGATCTTTAGGCTTGTCTCAGTTGACCCACAAACAACTTAACTGAAAGGCAGTGTCTAAAACTGGATGCATAAAAGCAGCTAACTAGGGAATAATAATAATTTCATGTCTTAAAGATGTTTATTCATATTTATATTCCCAGGATATTTGCTTGTTCTTAATAACATGCGGTTATTGTTGTTAACTGAGCCTGTGATTCACTATAGTTTCAAAATCCTTCCCTCAGAAATGGGATAACGTAACCTAGTAGCATTAGCTGATTTCTTTCTTTTAGCTACTAAGCTATTTTAAAACTGGTTATGGCACAAAATCAACTGAATATTCATGCTCAGATTTAAAAAAAGTCTCTAAATTTCATATTAATATATTCATAAGTTTGTATAAACTGTTGGAGCTAAAAACATCTTTTGCCTACAAGAAACCACCCAGATCCAAATTTCCTTGCTGTATGCAGTTTACAAACTGGGCAAACTGAATCCATAAGGCAAATACTGATGCCACCTGGCATTATTACCACATGTGGAAGTGTATGCAACTGTTGCACTTAAATGTATACCAAGTGTTCTTTTTCTGTGTTAGCCATAAAAATAAAACCATAATCATCTACAAATACTTGATAGTCATTCCCTTCAGCAGTAGGTAAGAATTAAGCAAACACGTGTAAGTATTTCCTTAGCATGTCAGGAATATAAGTAAGTTTGTAGTCATCAAATTGCTCTTTGAGGTGGTGGTGAGTTTACAAATGTCAATGAGTAACAGTTCATTGTATATATTAAAAAAAAAAACAAAAAAACTGTTTTCTCATTACCAGGCCTCAGCAAAGCATGCAGCAGACAAATTAGCGTAAATCTAAAAGTGCTTCATTTCTAGCAACAGTGTAACTGGCTCACCTGCATGGTTCCATCATTTACTTAAAATAAATGTTTTCACTGCAATCTTGTTGTAAATAGGTCATTGCATCTTACTATCTGTGGTAGTAATTAGTATGACAATAGTTTAGCTATGTCTGTTTCCTTCTGTGTTCTCATTCAGTGGAAGTGATACAAGGATATAGCAAATTTCAGAGGCTTTGTCCTTTTGTGTCTAATCAAAGCAGTAACATCATGCAGATGAATACAAAGGAGTGAGTTCCAGTGATGTTCATGGTCACTTCTCTGTAGATAGTAATGGCCTTGATTATTTCCATATTGCTTAGGTGGTACAAGCTATCTACAATATCATTATTTATATAGCAGCTTAGAGTCAATAAATAGCACAGTTCACATAAGACACTGTATCCAGAATATCCAGTGAAGACACGAGTTAAAAAGGAAAGCTGCGGAAAAGGTGTGTGGTGTGAATTAGAGAAAGTACATAAAACAGAAAAAGCCTAAATGTACAGCTCTTACTGTCCTTAAATGATAAGGTGTTTCAGATTAATGCAGTCCTCTGGCACAGACAGCTATTTGTTCTGTAGGTACTTATACTGCAAAATTGCTAAATTGCACTGGAGCAGGATAACAGATGCATTCCGCATACTGTAAATGGCAAGTGTAATAGTTGTACTGGGCAGTAACTGCTGTAATGCAGTAACTCTGAAGAAAGTAAATAAAGTGGCACTAATTTTATTAATAACTGGTGTTTTGTGATTGTGAACTTATATAGGTTTTGTTTTACTTAACAAGAATTATTTCTTAAAAATTTGGCACTTATTAATTCTTAAAAATGATACGGATGCAGTTAAAGACATGATTCCAGTTTCTCTCGGAGATGCAACTGTCCTAAATCTAATTTCTGCACAATTGTGTATGAAGCGCACCTTCACCGAAAGACATGAGGATCCAAAGCTAAATTGCACAATAGAAATTAGCAAGGACTGTAATGCAACAGATTTCAAACTAGCACTACTGCTCTTTTCTGGCTTCTCAGCTTTCTTTGCATTTTCAAGTGACTTCCAGTAGATAGAGCTACAGCTAACTGATGATAACTACATTAAAGTAAAGTACTGATCATATTGGAATTCTACAAAAAGTTTAAAGACAAATCAGTTCTCATTTAAATTCTCATTTAAAAAGAATGAAAAGTACAAAAATATGTTACTGAGAGAGGGGGTGGGGGTGGGTATAAATATATGCTTCAGTTTGTCTATATAATATGAATTACTGATTATATGAAGCCAAATAAATTATTCAGACAAAAAACGAGATTGAAACAAAAATGGTATCTGAAAAGTGGAACACAAGAGGACAATCAGTTTATACACTGCCAGGACCCCTTCTACAAAGCTAATTAGGAGGAAATAAGAAAGCCATTAGGGAGCATGAATCATAGAGGTTATGGGGTCCTTCTCTATGAATAGCAGAAAGGATCAGAAAAAATAGAGGAGGAAGAATTCCAGGAACAGAATCGTTTTTTTTCTTATGTCTATAGTCAGTTTTATTAGTTTGATTTCCTCATGTGATCTTGAGTAATAGACATATCTGGTAATGGCACAACACAGTCTGAATATTCAGGATAAAGAGAAATGAAACTTACCATTGAGGAGGAATTTCCACAGGGACAAAATTTCGGTTGCACAAGTGAACAAATGCTGCTGCTAAGCTGCAAGCACTTTTCAACTCGTTTGAGTCACAGGTGTCAACCATACACATGCTGTAGAATGGTTCAGGGTCCACCTTAAACACAAATGGGTTTTGTTTAGGTGTTTGGTATACAGAACCCAAGCATGCCTCTCTTTTACCAGACAGACTCTCCCTTGAGGTGCGAGCAGTATCCAAGTAGCCGAGAACTGAAAAGG